TACAGAATTGTTTTCAGTTATTTTTCCAGTTTTATGTTCAAAATGACTCAATTCTTAATAAAAACTCATAGTTGCATTTTCTTGAGTTGAACGCATGAGTTACTTGGAACCCATACAAACATTCAAGGGCTTGTCTTGGGAAAGAGAGTCTTGTGCTCTGGACAAATCTTGAGATCTGCACAGATCAAGGACATGAATGAAAAAGTTTGCCTAGGGTTTTCACCACTAGCTAGCTCACTGTATGGTCAAAATAGAAAAAATAATACTTTCACTGAGAAATGCGGTGAATTTTTCACGAATGTAACTCAATTGAGACATGATGCCATAGAAGATATCATGCTATGGAGAATGAGCACTTTGGAATTCTAAAATCTTGAATATTTTTGCTTGTTTTACTTAAGAAGCAATTCAACTTCTTTCATATTAATTTTATTTTTAGTCCCAGAGTCTAAGCTAATTAAACTCAAAATAAGGCCAGGTATTTGGTTCCAGTACATAAGCAATCACTGTAGTGATCTATAAATTTTATTGAGGAAACACATGTGTAAAAAACAGTCTCGTTCGGGCCGGGCAGGTCTAAATAATTTTCGGGGCGATCTGGGCCATAAAAATGTGGCATGTTTTGAATCCTGTTAGATATATTTATATACATGCTAGAACAAGCAAAAAAAATGATATTATGCGTCGCTGCTACTACTTCGTACAACTAAATCCACAACTATTATTATCTAACCATACATGAGACATCATTCCATGGAGCACTCGACTTTCTATCTGCAAACTGAATGCTTCTCTCCTAGCAACAAGTTCGAAAAAAAACAATGGTCTTAAAATCCAAACCGTTATGTCAATCCGCATGTACATCTGTTCACAGCTGCCATTGATACGTTTGTCGGGACCTGATTTACACATCAATCGATGCAGAATTATGTGAGCAATCGATTGAGCACCTAATTTTGCTCTGACAAACGATCTATAGTGTTGGAAAATGGCCGAAATTGGTCGAACACCTCCTCAGCATACCAATGCTGCTCTAAATAGTTTCAGAGGTCTCATTCATTCGTTTGTCTGGGTACAGTGAGGTACTCAGTTGATTGCTCGCATCATTCTGCATTGATAGATGTGCAAATCATGCCCCGATAAACGAATACATATAACCTTTCAACGATTTTCTGTGCCGCTCGGTAGACGTAGTAGGATTACGGTAGTTTTAAGATCGTTATGGCATACCTATCGGTCATCGTGAGTGGTAATGCATTGGTGGGTAGCTTAAGTGATTTAACATTGATTGACGTTGGATATATCCCTTCTCAAAGAAATGAATATATCCGTCTGTGTACGCCCCCTATCGGCTACGGTAATTAGGTGGCAGAGGGCACCCAATGGTATTGCCACTACAATCGGAGTGGCGAATCGTGCTTGTTGCAGTAGCTTCATATCGATCCCACACCCACATCCTCGGCTAGTCCGCGTGACGCGCCTCTATCATCAACGAATTTATCATCATCATGTCGTTCTTGCAATGTTGTTTCGTAATTATGATGCATATTACGAAAGAACCGCACTATACATAAACAGAAAGAAAAAAAAGCGACGAGTGTATTGAGACAATAGTTACGAATGTCGACTCAAGTAAATCTAACAGATCTTCTTCAAGCAATCATTCGTGCTCTGAACGCATTCAATCTTGAAGCTGGTTCAGCACTCATCGAACGAGCTGTTGCGAATATTAATGATGATCCTGACAATACTCAATTACTGGCTAATCTAAAACTGGAACTTGGTCGATTGCCACCACTAGCAAACCTCAATATGCATGGCGAAATGCTTTGGTTCATTCAAGCAGTAATTGGATATGTACAAGCTGCCAATGTGATCGATAAAAAACTCGTGACACGGGCTATCGAAAAGCTTTATCGTGGTATAGAACCATTTGCTCGAAATGACACACAACGAACGGCCTTGATCGAAATGGAAACTGCTAAAGACGATGCACTCGGTATCGAACCACGCCATCGAAAAGGCAACAAACTAAGCAACCAATGGATCGACGACGAGAAAGAGAAGGAGGCCGACGACGTCAAAGATTTACATATGACTCGTGAGCTAAAGTCAAGTGACTACTGACAGCAAGAAACGAAAGAAAAGAAAGGCAACAAACAATATGCAGCTAAAAATTTTATCAAGTCATGTATGCATCTGTGACTGTGTGTGAGTTGTGTGACACCAAAAAATTACAAGAATAAAGATGATAAAAAAAATTTGGACTTCTATTTTTTCAGACCAAAGAAATGGTGCTCTTACAACTATTAAGCTTAACAATGAACATTCTCTGTCTCATACAGATATTGCCTCAGATTATTCGTATTTACAAGTCAAAAAATGTCGACAGTATTTCTACAACTTCTGTCTTACTTGAAGAAACAGCATAGAGAGAATAGAAAAAATGTAATTTTTATTTTCAGTATTCTTGTTATGAAGGGTGTGGATGTTAGTGTAGTTGTTAAGAACACTTGAATCCACATACACCCCACACCATTATGTTTTGTTTAAATATCAATCTTTCATGGATACGAATGAGTTGATAATCTATTGATAAAAAGTTACAGATCCTCGAACTCTGGCGCAAACATTTTTCGAATTATCACTTGGTTTCCATACGAATTCCAATGGATAAAATAAGAATAATGCATGGAGTTATTTTAGTTCGTTATCAGAAATAATAGTTTAAAATGAGATTTGACTACAAGAAGAGCAAAAAAGAAAAGAAGTAAATTAGAAGAATTTTTATCTCAATTTTTTTAATGTTATTTAATCTTCGTTGATTTTCGAGGTGTTTGAAATCGTTGTACTACTATTCAACATTCGCGCTAACTTCGAATTGCTTTATCTTAGCAAAAAACAACTTTAGATAATTGAGTAATGTTATTAGCGTCTTCATTATGGTATATCTAGAACAGGTACGGTTTTGTCTAATGCTGTGTACTTGTAAAAATATAATGGAATCGGCTAGGATCCCAGATGATCTTGTGAAGGTTAATGGAATTTTTTACTGAAAGTAAGACATTTGCCAAAAAATCCAAAATAAAAAGTTTCGACGAAAATGATCATCTCAAGGAGGATTTGTTTTTTTTTTCGTTGAAACATTCAGGGCTATCAGATTTGCTAATAGACAAAGTTTCAAGTGAGAAATCTCTGTTTCTGATTTTGCAGAAATGGATTTTTTTAAGTAAAAATTTCATTGAAACCATCATAACTCTTCATCAGCAGACTGAAGGTCCGAATCTCTTTAAGATTCTCCATGATCTGATCGAAACAGACTCGGTTTTTCTATATTAGGAGTCGAACATAAAACAAATATATTGACTCTAAATCCGGTAGACTTTAAATTCAGATCTAAAGATTTGATTAATTGAGTTCGTGTCTGTATTAGAATTCGAAAATATTAAGTTGACTAACGGAAAAAGCCTTTACATGTCTACTTCCAATATAAATAACTTCATTTTGCCTTTAGATACTACATAGTATCTTAGTCCTTATTAAAATTTTCTAGTGCTATTGAATTATTTGAAAGTAGATAGATTTCAATGAGTAGAACAAAAGTTCTCATTGACTCTGAATTTTCGAATACTTCCATCTAGGAAATATCTGAATTGCAATGTCGCTTTCTCAATTACAAGATGTTCGATAGAGTTTGGTATGAGTGCACAGAAGATTGATATCCAAATGCACACCATTATTGTCTCGAGATTTGAGTTGAATTAATTATATTTTGCGCTCAAATTCAAAATTTGAGTTGTAAGGCTTTCGTCGAATTCGTATTTTTTATCTAGTTTAAAAATGATCATCGTGCAAAAATAATATTGACTTGTTTTTGATTCGTCTGATGATGAAAGAATCTTAGAAAAATTGGACACACTATGTTGAGTCTTTTATATGTGAGAATGAAGGTGATCATGATGAAACAATAACAGTACGTAAACGATCTAAATTACGAAAAAATCCATGATTCTTACTTCGATAGGGTTCATGGGAAAAAAAAAAATTTTATTTGTAAATTTCTGTTTTTCATTTAACAGAAATATTTAAAAATCAATTGGCGCATCACCGATCGACCACTGATGGAAGTAACAACAGCGAATAGTGATTATGGTAGGCTTAATATAAAAACGCTTTATTAGCTCGTAAACAATGAGCTTAAGTTTATTTTAGTTTTAAAATGCATATCTTTCTAAAAAGTCCTTAACAACTTGTATCTATATATAACACGTAATAGGAAAAGAGAAGAGAACAAAAAAGAAAAAGGTAACCATAGAATAAAGAGGTAAGATAGAAAGAAAAGCATCAAGGGGCAGGAATGAGGGTGAACTACCGCTAACATTCCTCCCCTCATATGTGAGATGTGTGTCCTCACGCATCAATATTAGATACATCAGTTTGTTTCTAAATTTGAATTCGTTTTCACTTGATGGATTCGTGTTGGGAATTGTTTGCTGTATCTTGATATCTTCATAATTTTTATCAAATTTTGTTCAGGATAAGCTAATCGAAACTAAGGTGTGGGTGTGGGTGTGGATGTGAGTGTTGGTTGAGTTAGAGGCTGATTAACACCCACACCCACACCCTCAAGGTGAAAGACTAGCCTTTCCTTGCCAGTATTACCGTTTTGTCCGTGCCACTATTATATATATTATATATGTTATTCAAAGCAGAAGAACGAAAGCAAACAACAATATAGACGCATATATAAAGAGAAAAAAAAAGAGAATATTTTGAAAATTTGATGTAAACTTTAATCATTCCTATTTCTGACGAAGGTCACCTTGATGTACCGAAACGTCAATAATAAATAAATAAAACATCATCATTCAAGGAAGAGAACTACTATAAACTATGAATTCATCAACCTTCCTCACACGTTATGAAAGCAGAAATGTATCACAGATCAAAAAAACTCCAGAAAAAAAATGCAGAAAAAATATTAAAAAGAAAACACCAAGTTATTGTTCATTAATAATTTTTTTATTTTTTTGTTTTATTGTTCCTGATCCCCATGATAATGGATTAAGAGATTTTAAAGATTTCTTTGGTCGTTTTAAAACATCACATCGAAATATTGTATAATAATCTGATAAACAAAGTGATTCTTCATTCTAAAATATATTTTTTATATTATTCAAAATGATTATCATCATTGATATTCATTCTTACGTATAATAATGTATCATTATGTCAATTACCAAAATGTATATCAAGATAATATTCTGAATAAAATATTTTATTACAATATTTCCATAACTATTTATCTTTTGAAATTTTAATTTTATTTATTTTTGTTGAAAATAAATATTTCGAATTGGAGAAAAAACATATTCAAGTGGAATAGCAACATGATGTTTTTCATAAATGAGTACAAGAGTCTTTTTTTATTCAAAAACAAAGCAAAGTTTTAAATTAACTTTAATTAATTAATTATTACTCGTGTAAAATAATCTCGAACAAGTCGACTACTTTCATGTGAACATGGTTTGTTACAAAGACTAAATGAGATCTAAAATACAAAATGGTAATTTGAACATTTTTTTTTTTGAAATTTTAACCTAGGGGAAAACAGCAGACTTCACTCCTGAAGTTCAATGAAGTCTTGAAGTTTTTTAAAGTCTTTCAAAGTCTCACAAAGTCTGAGAAGTCTCAAGAAGTCTGTAAAATCTTAAGAAGTCTGTAAAATCTTAAGAGGTCTGTGAAGTCTCAAAAAGTCTTTGGAAGTCTCATGAAGTCTTTGGAAGTTTCATGAAGTCATGTGAAGTCTCTTGGAGTCTTTGGAAGTCTCATGAAGTTCCGTGAAGTCTCTTGAAGTCTTTTGGAGTTTTGTGAAAATCTGAAGTCTCTATGACTGAAGTCTCGCGAAGTCTTTGAAGGATGTGGGTGTGGGTGTAGGGATCTCTTCAACTACACCCGCACCCACCCGTCACTCACACCCACCCATGCCCACACCCGGCGTGGCGGTTGACATTGTCATGATAAAACTAAAAAAAACAAGAGAATGATGGTTATATGAAATCAATTGTAACACTTACATCCAACTCTCCTGATCAATACACGACTTTAATAGCAAATTGATCAGCTAGTAAATCTTCTCCACATTGACAGCACGTTTTATCACGTTGAACAAGAACAGTGCGCTGCTAAAGGAAATATATACTATTATTATTATATTTTTTCTTGTAAATTTACTCATATGCTTGATTCCCGATCGTCGACTGAATGCCAACTAAAAACAAAAAATTTACTGAACGATTAGTTCAATATAAAACTTACGCGGTTAAACATTTGATTTTTGATCAAGTAAAAAAACCCGAAACAAAATAAGAAAAATTTAAAGAAACAATCTAGAAAAATGCATAAAAAATATTATTGATTTATTGATAAACGATCAAATACAAATAAATCAAAAAAATACTTGTAAAATAATTTTAAGTACGCCAACCGCACTAAATTTTAAAAAAATATTTCGTTTTAGTTTTTTAAGATTGGATTTTATGAGATAAATACCTTATAGTTAATGCAGAATTTTTCATTGTATACTAAAATGTTGAATCGTTAAGTAAACCTCCACCTAAAGTTGATGCTAAGAAATATAATCAAAAAGAAAATGTTTTATAAACATTACATAGTAATTGTACATTTGATAATTCATCAGAAAAAAAGACCATTAAAAAGAATACTATTGATAATGATAATAAACTAATTATATAAAGAACATCTGAAAATGTTTTATGCTCACTAAATCTTTGAACAGTTAGATTAAGATAAAGAGAATTAAATATAACACTAAGACTACCAATTATATATATATGATTCCATATGTGAAAATATATGAGAGTAAAACACACAAAGAAAAATCTTGAAAAGGAAAATATGGAATAGACAAGATGTCAACAAATTACGTAATTTTACATTTTAAACTACTATTGGCTATTATTAAAATGTTTTTAAATCATCTTCCCCGCTGTCTATAAACTAGAGTGACGCATTAATTCAAGATGAAAATATTCAATCTTGAAAAAGGTATAACGAAAGAAACAAAACACAATGATTTCTTTTCTTTTCTATCTTTGATCTTGCCTGATAAGTTCATATATATTATTATAACGATGAGTTTCTCTTTTTGCAATTTTCTTTTTCTTTCCTAGACGTGAAGACCATATTCTTCTATGTTTCATCTTTCTTTCTTTCTTGTCTACATATATTCTTTACAAAACTAAAATCTCAAAGAAAAAAAAATAACGACATTGGGGAGTCCTTCACAATATATGGTAACAAAAAATACTAAATTTGAAGCTGAACTAGCTCGATATTTAATATCTGATCCTGGTGATAGGGATGTAACAATACTAACACAGTATTGGTAGTATTGGCATTGGTATTAGAAGTGTCATATTCTCATTACCATTACTGGTAAGTGCTAAGTGCTATTCCCAAGTATGTGTTAAGTGCTGTTTCCAAGTGAGTGGTAAGTAGTACTGGATCTCTTTGGTCTGTAGAAATCAGCAACTTCCGATCCTTCTGGTATCGCAAAGGATGATACATAGTTCGTGTTGGTACTATGTGATATCACCAGAATCTTCAAAACTACTAAAACTACCTCAAGCTATTTGAAAAATCCTTTAGAATAATCAATAACAGTGATAGCTATTAGTTTTTCTTGCCATAGTGGTTTGGTGACGCTCTGCAAAGATCACGCTGAGTTGCATTACTATTGATACTGTAGTTGACTGATACTAGTAGCATCATCAAAGAAGACTCAATAGAAAATGTGATTAATGTCGGCAAAAAAATGTATACATCGAAGAAATTACAAAGAATATTTTGCGACAAGTGCCACATTATTTTAGTTATCATACATTGAAGTAGGAACAAAAAAAAGATTATTAACATTTATCTATGTGTATAACGATCCGAAATTTTTCTCGTTTATATGACCAAATGAACTGGATATAAACTTCCAAGTTTTCCACATTTGTTTTACTTGCTTTTATATAAAAATCTAAACTTGTCGCGTCATCAACTAATAATCGTTGGAAACAGTCATTGCTGATTCGTTTGTTAAATGAATAACAATCGTCAGTGTAATTCATAGTACAGTAAAATCTCTGTGAGTGAACACCTCTATTTAGCGAACACATCCCAACTCTGAACAATGAACACGATCTTTGGTTCCTGGATTAAAGAAAACCTCTAAATAGTGAACATACATACTATAAATTATGCACATGTATATAAAATAATAGAATAAAAGAGAACATAGCGTATATTTTGAAGCGGATATAGGTCAACTCATTGACCATCTATTCATCACAACAAATTCGCGGCATATATGAAAAAAAAAGATGAATAGTCCATCACGAATTGAGCGATCGCATGTGAAAGAACAATGCTCTTTATCATTTATGATTGTGAAATGACAACAAGATATATATTAACTCTTTCTAAAAAGATACAATTGATTCGTGAAAATGAACAAAAATTTTCTTACCATGCACTGGCTGACAAATATAAGATCTCGATCGGCAGTATATCAAATATTATCAAGCGTAAGGCCGAATACATGGAAGACTACGAACAAAATGAAAGTTCAGCCAAGAGGCACGATATACGTGATGAATTTTCCCAACAACTCGATGAAAGAATATATGAATGGTTCGTGGCATAACGCAGCAAAAACATTCCAATATCAGGTCCTCTTTTATAAGAACGAGCTCGACAAATCTGTCAACAACTGGGTGGACCGAAGGCTGACAATTTTAAGGCAAGCAACGACTGGTTGGAAAAGTTCCGAATACGACATGGTATACAACATCGAATGATATGCGGAGAATCAGCAGCAGTCGACCTTACAACTGTTGACGAATGGAAAAAACGACTTGTATCAATAATCGATAGTTATGATCCGAATGACGTTTACAATGCTGATGAAACCGGTTTATTCTTTAAAGCATTACCAAATCGTTCGCTTGTCACCGCCAAGGATACATGCAAGGGTAGAAAATGATCGAAAAAACGTTTTACCGTTCTTCTTTGCACCAACCTGACTGGTACCGACAAGCTACAGCCCCTTCTTATCGATGAGTTCTCTATCCTCGGTTTAATCTTTTCTATTCATCTGTATTAATATTGGCGTTTTAGGCAAGACAGCTAACCCTCGCTGCTTCAAGAATTTAAATACCAAAGAACTACCTGTCGATGGCGATCGAATCGCACAAGTTGGATGACTGTAAGTCTGTTCGATGAACGGGTTGCTGACGTAAACAAAATTATGCTCAAGCAAAAACGCAAAATCTTATTGTTCATCGATCATGCACCTTGTCACAATGCTGATATTGAATATTCCAACATCTGTCTCAAGTTTTTTCCCTCCAAATACTACTTTGAAATTACAATCTCTCGACCAGGGAATCATCAAGAATTTTAAATGTCATTATCGTAACTATCGTGATTTATGTTATTTTGCTAAACAACGCTATACATTCATTTAGGTCAACATCTCGTGAAACATGTGATATCACGTTGTGCTGTCGCCACCTCATCTGACGACATTATTATTACAGCACTTGATGCGGTACACTGGACGAAAAGTGCTTGAGAAGTGGTCACCCAGTCGACAATTCGTAACACGTTCCGGATGGCAGGCTTCATCTCTTCAAAAGTCGATGATAACAAATAGTACTACAATTAATAACAATATCGATTCTGACGAAGAAATGACTGACAATATCGCCACAGCCTTAAACAATCTGGATACACTTCTTTCTCTTATGAATGTCGATGGACAAAGTCTTTCAGCAAGTGAATTCGTCGAAATAGATTCAGACATTCCAGTCTTCAATGAATGAAGCGATATCGACGACAATCTGATCATCGTCGACGAAAATTACAATACCAAGAAAAACAACAATCATGATGAAGAAGATGATGACATACCGACTAAAACACCACCAAAGCTCACTGAAACAATGGAGATGGTCAGACGATTACATCTTCTAGCTGCCACTCAACAACTACAACTACATTTACTTATTTCTCAGCTGGGCTCACAGCTTACTCAACTTTGCATTGACTTGAAAGCAGTTAAACAGACAACGATCGACGATTTTTTTTCATAAAAATTGAACAGATATGTAAAATAGATTTTAAAAAAATATTTTTTTGTTATTTTGTTTCATGAAAATTAAATAAATGTGTAATAGACGAATTAAAAGATATGTTTGTTACATTAATATAAATGAAATTCTAATTAAAAAGGTTCGTAATCATCGTTCTGTCATACTTACCATGCACTGTATACATGTAATGGTTCAGCCAATGCAAAATCTCTATTTAATGAACACTTCCCTTCGTGAACACTTTTTAGACAGTCCCGTTGGTGTTCACTATATAGAGATTTTACTGTATTTTATATTTTGCTTCCAGTCATATATATAGAAATGATAAGAAACAAGTTATGTTCTATTCATTATTCCTAGTGTAAATAAAACAAGTTTGTTATGGAAAAGTTGTTAGCGCAACAACTATATAATTGAAACGTGAAATAGGACGGCGTGGATGGATGAATATGAATAGAAGAGCCTCACACTTACGCTCTTCACAGTATGATACTTCATTCATGATATTGATGATGAGATCTCTTACGGATTGCACTCAGCTTATATTAGTTATTTTCACCAGGCTTTCGTACGAAGAGATAAATTTGACATGAGTTATCGCTTCTTGCATTTAGTGACATCTTTTTTGTCAAATAAAACAGAACTTCTCATTTCATGGAATGAATTAATTATATAAAAACTATAAAAAAAAGAATATTTTTTCGACATAATCTTTCATTTTGGTGGTCTATGTTTGAAATATAATACATACTGAATAAATGATATTATGTGACAACTTATCACAATAGAACAAGTTTTTTGAACCCGTTCTTTTCATTCTAAATGGATGATTCTCTCATACAAATTCTCATTCGTCGTAAATCTAACAAGTGTTATGAAATACGAATTGCCACTCGCTATCATATTACCGACCCAATTAAACAAATAGCTGAGCATTTTCATTTAAAAATTGAACAATAATTACATGTATCGTAATGAATCAAATGTTTGTTCATTGTTTTATTCATTGCATCATACACATTATAATGTATTAAATAAATATGGTCTATTGAGTAGTGAAGAACTTGTGATTTAATAATATATGAAGACGAAGATAATGATGAAAAAAAATCTATCAATAATTAATAAGATATTTAACTTCAACTGTTAATTTTCATCTATTTATTTATCCTAGTTAAACATGTTTTTTTTTGTACGCGTGACACGAACAAAATTCAAAACGTGTCTATATAACATGACTTTCTGGGTCAAGAATTTCATGTGCATGTGAAAAAGAGTTTGACTAGAGCAGTCAATTGGATTTATCATCGAATAAATATGTAAATTTATTTTCGACAAGAATTGAGTAGGATAAAAATACTTATTGACAAGTTATATTAGGTCGAATAAATGCAGATTATTGTACATGGATTCGTAGAGGTAAAAGAAAATTAGTTTGCTACTTTCTTTTATGTTTATTTCTTTTTATTTTAGATAATTCTCATGTTGTAGTAGAATTGAGTTAGATATATGAACAAAGGATTATCAAAATTGATATGTGTTATCAATACAGAATCTGATGAAAGTATTACTTATTTCGATAGAGTTTGATGCTGTCTTCATGTAGTTTTTCTTCTTTATAACAATTTACATTATGATTCAAGTAAAAAAAATATTATTATGAAATCTTTGTTTTTTTGTTTATTGAAATTTTTGTTTATAGTTCATTTGATAACATATACTATTATAGAACAGAAAGAACTATTAACAATGAATAATGAAAAGATCCTTTTATTAGTTAAAGATTTTGTGAATACTGAATAATCAAACAAAGCAGCTTTTTATTGTGATTTTTTTTTCTCATTTCTTTTTGCTTTATGGAAACCTATTGTAGGATTTTATATAAATATATATTTAATATGTATATATATATATATATATATATATATATGTTAATGTAGAGATAGACATTAGTCATTATTAGATAGTCATATTAGAATTTTTTTCTTTATTTTTCAACGAATGATTAAATTTACTTCAATTCAGATTATTATTTCAACAAGACAAGCAAAATCAATAAAAATTAATAGACACACCAATGATACTGTAAGTATGTTTTTACATATTTAAAAAAGGCTTTGTTTTTTTTAAATGAATTCAATAATCTTCAATCATGATGTCAGAATTTTAATAAATATTCTTTGTATTATAGTACGTAATAATAATAGATGAAAAACAAAATGCCTCAAGTATTTTTAACAAAATTATTATAAAAAAAAAAAGAAAAGTCCTTGACTCTGAGCAAAATAGATTATGAATACATGATAAGATCTTAAATAATCCCTGAAGCAATATGACTGTGAATTTTAGGATTTATAGTTTCCAAGGTCGGAAAATATATTTTTTGATTAATTATAATTATTTCATAAAATGACATGCAAGTTTCTACAGATGTTATTATAATGTCTTATTTGAATGTGTAGTCTACAACAGTTTTGAAAGTTGAATACACAAACTAGATACTCTATTCTCTAAACTTTATCTTTCAATTCTAATCGTAGATTCATGAAAAGTTTTTTTGTCGTAACTCTTTTTCTTACCATCTCGATTGTTCTCAGTATTTTTATTGACTAATGATATTTAAATTCATTTATTAATTAAGAATAAGATTTCGTTTTGATCTTGTACAACTATAAGATAGTTAATATCTGTTAAGAACTGTAAATAGAATATTAAAAATGATCGTATCTAGAATTTCTTGATTTTTATATATACTTTATCATAAAAAAATTTGTTCTGAGTTATAGCAATAAAAAGTCACTGAGAAGAACGATAAGGATAAAAATGCAGGAAGAAAGGAAAAACAACTATATTGTCGATTAGGAATATTTCTATTCCAGGAATGTATGTTCGTCGTCAATTCATAGTTTGTATTTATATTTCGCTGTGTTGAGGATATTTTTATCAATAAGCTTTTTACATTCTAATATAGCATATAATTCAAAGAACCTTTCTCAGGTTCAATAAAAGATGCCATTACCTTAATAAACCTATATCGTCATAAATATTTTTGTTTCGATCAATCCATATAAAAATAACATTTACATTAATCATTAGCATAGTCTGTGTGTGCTTGTTTTTTATGCGTTGAATATTCATATAAATAACAGACTAAAGCAAAATATCCCTTCTAACAACAGAAAAAAAACACCAATGACATCTTTCATATATGAACTTTTTTGTTTTTTCTTTGCTCAAAGATTTTTTTCTTTTCTAAAAGATTTTTTTTCTTTTCTAAAAGATTTTTTTCTTTTGAGAGTTCAACAAGATGGAAAAATAATGTCTTTGCTCGAATTCTTAAAAAAACCTAATTAATTTTTTACTAGAATTTTCTTTAAATTGTTGAATATCATATATAATTTCAGTTCGCGTGATCTTATTTCTTCAACAACACAATCTGAGTGTTCACCCACATATCGACATGTTCCTATGCCTTCTAAAGGTAATTATTTATAAAAATAAATATTTTATTGAGTTAGTTGAAATTTTATCTTATATATATATATATACAGTTATTTTTATTTCTATGTTCTTAATTTCTCGTGTCCTGTTAACAGATTTTTTTCATGAATTTAATGATGAAATTAGTTTTCTTTTTTTCTAATATTATTTTTATTAATGAGTACATCAACAAAATATCTTTATTGCGTGACATTAGTGTCAAACATAATTAATAAAGCGGCAAGAAAAATAACCAATACAAAAACAAAGAAAAGTATAAGAAATCAATAGACATAATTGAAACGTACGAATTAATGATGTCAATAGTAACGTAAACTTATTTACGTATATCAATTTTTATCTATTTTTATAATATAAAAATAATAACTGTTGATAGTTATTCATATGAGTGTATAATCCAGTATTTTTTCATATATGTTTTCAAGCTAGGTTCTTTCTTTCGGATGCCAAACATCAATATGTAATGATAAAAATAAAATGAAAATAGACCCAATGAGTAATACTTGACAAATAGATATAAAGAAACAACAAAAAAGAGTCCTATGATCACTTCCTACACAGAATTATTGCCAGTTCTTTGTTCCTTCGCAAACAGAAAGAAAGAGAAAACTGGGCGTCAATCGTATGACTACATATTAGTAGTCTTTCTTACGAAAAACTATAGATTATTCTTATCATTCTATATTTCTTTTTCCATGAGATGCTAATCTTGAAACCATTATGTGATATGTATACATATACCTTGATGTGAAGAAAAATAACAAGAAAAATGTTGTTTTGAAGTTTCATTTTGTTTTTTAGTATATAAAAACATCAACGCATAATTGTGAAAAGAAAAAAAATCGAAGAAGAACGAGAGAAAAACGAGAAGAAAAAAACACGACAATCATTTTTTTTTCTAATTGATGCATCGTTATTGTTGCTGAGTGATCGTGTGCATCGTAACAAAAAAATTCATCCAATATAACTTTGACTGTTCGTATATGAGAACAAAGCATCTGTCAATTCCTTTTATTAGCATCTTTGTCTTATAAATCAAAGCTAAATAATGTCAAATCAACAAGAATCTATTGAAAAGAAGACAGAAGAACAAGACAATAATGTCTTTGATGAAGAACTTCAACAGAATACAATAACTTCGCAAGAACATGCAGCTAAAAATGATATACATGCCTGGCGAAGACATCGTTCATACACTTACCAACGTAATCCATTACTGTTCAGACGTATGAGTCAAGGTGAGCAAATACAAAAAAGAAAAATTTATTATTGATGTCTTTTATAACGCTTTTATGTGTATTACTCAAGGTGTCGTACTTTGTTTGTGTAGACATATAATCCTATTGTTTGTTAGTAACAATTCAAGTACATTTAAGTACAACATAAAATACAGAAAATAGATGGGATTTCGTGTTACTAAAAAACAAAAACAAAAAATATATTCTTTCTTTTTTTTTCAAACTTTTTAGCATGTCGCGATCGATTAGTTCGAACACCAACTGTTATTGTATGTAAACATGCTTTCTTTTTTGTTTTTCTATTACAATTTTGTTCATTCTATTCATGTTTAAGGCTATGTGTGGTTTACCAGCACGAGGCAAAGTAAAATATTTTTCGAACAAATCAATAAAAATTTAAATCCATTTTCTTTTAAATAAAGACATACATTTCAAAAAAATTGGCACGTTATTTACAATGGATTGGAATCAAAACAAAAGGTATAAATAGAATTTTCAATTTTACTAATATATATGAAAATTGATTTTCGTTTTTCGAATGCCTATCGAAGTTTTGAAGTATGAGTGTTGAAGTACATATGTACTATTTACTTGATAGTGTACTTTGGACTGTTCATAATGTTACTCAAAAAACAAAAATTAAATAATTTATGGAATGAATAAATGAATATTTATTATATTTAGCAAGTGATAAAAAAAAGAAAATGATAGGAATTCATTTTGATAAAATCATCAGTTAACTAGATATCATCTTCTATGCAAATAAAGGTCATCATAGCCTTTCCATTTTATTGTTTTGTTTCGTTTTTATGATGTAAATATGTTATTCTATAACATAGATAATGATACAAAATCTTTGTAATAAAAAATTTGAAATCAAAAAAACTAATAGTTTGTATTACATGGTATTGATTTTCACTAAAGAGAAAGTTATGATCATAAAAATCTTTATATGTCATGATAAGTAAGATCTGTAATAAAGCTAATTTGAATGATAACCTGCTGTTGTTCTATATTGATTGTTATTACATAGATATTCAGTTTTTTGTTTTGAATATTTCCTTTATTCAAACTAAAGAAACTTTATAAAAAAAAATTTTCTTTCGAATTCATGAAATAATATTAATTATTTTTTATTAAGTATGTTCTTATCTGTCGGTAATGGGTGAAAGACAAAAGTGCAAAAAAAAAAACATAAAAAAGCCTTTATAAAAAAAATTCTTTCAGTAAGCTTCTTGTTTGGTTGCCATAGAGTTACATTAATTAGATAAAAGAAACTTAATTTACTATGAAACTTTACTCTTTGCTCAATGATAAAATCTGAAATCATTTCAGTATTAAATTGAGAATAGAAAGAACTGAATAAAAAAAACAAAGGTTATAGTAACACAGAAGTCAATATTGATGATGATAGACTTCTTATTTATGCAAGAGTCATTCTATGATATATATATATATATATGGAATGTCATAAGAAGGAGACATTGTACGGGATGACATTAGTACATGTCTAGCCAAAAAAATATGCATCTATAGATTAGATGCATCTGTCTTCTTGCCATTTTGTAGAAAGTATTTTGTATGAAGATTATATTTATTTCTCTTGAGAAATGTCATCAGTGGCGAAAACAATGGTTGGACGAAGATCCTTAATGTAATTACGCAAGTCTTTGTACCCAACCACTGTTGATAGTACTAACGAACGATCATGATGAGTAGTGAAAAAAATCTATTTTCATTTTTACTTATCGAGTTATGGGTGTTTT